TATAGTTAATATTGCCTTAACTTAAATAGTTTGTCTTATAAATAACTTTTTGCTAATTTTCTAGTTTTGGTGATTTATCTGTGTTCACCAAAATTGTATCTTATCACCAAAATTAGAAAGTAAGTAGCTTTTTCTGTCATAATAACACTGTTGTTGGCATGTTGTTGGCTACAAATTAATAATGTTGAAAAACAAATTAAAGTTCATTTAATTTATAAATTTTTAATCGACAGAGCAGAGCCATCCCATAGGTGGCAGCACTACTCCGAACACGAACGGGTTTGTGCTTGGTACAGTTGAAGCAACTTTCCCGGTGTGAAGTAACGCCTCACTCTGGAAAGGATGCCAATCTTACTGGATGCATTTTTGGCCATGGATTCTATGTATTTGCCGAAGTTCAAATTGGAGGACAGGACTTAGGACACATCCTAAGTAGCTAAAGACAGTCGGCTATCGGTATATATTCGACGCCGGAAAGCGATCTTGTCGTATCTCGAAAAATAGGACTTTACACTTTACACAAAAATAGGACTTAAGTGTCAAATCCAAACGTCTAACCATGGAGTTGTTCAAGTACCTACCTACAATTGAGCTGTCGTGAGCAGACGCAAAGGCACCTGAAATTAACATATCATTGATATGCAGCAGATAGAGAGTTGCAGACAGCACGGAACTCTGAGGAACTCTGGCATCAATCGCCCGATGTTCGGAAGAGTAGCCTTCTAAGACCACTCGAATCGAATGTTTCCTTAAGAAATCCGAGATCCAATTGCAAAGGTCAGTAGAAGACCCATAACTCGTTCGGATCGGCTCCGAAACTACTTGGAATTTCTCCGAAAAAAAAACTTATATCTACCTGAACTTGACCTGTAGATGACGAATTTGAGTCAATTTTCCATTTTCCGCCCGCCATCTTGGAAAATTTTGACCTGCACAATTGTATTAACTTCGACCCTTTATAATAGGGGCACAATTGTGTACGAATACGATTGTATTTAGATGGGCCTTTAATATGTTACTTGGTGAATAAAATCTTAAGATCATTTCTTATATGCAAAATCAACAAAAAGTCTTAAAATGTACCTATAGTAATAGTACTTTTTATCATAAAAAGTGTCACCGTATCGTCTGGTGTAAAATATTTCTCAAATCCTTGAGTGGGTGTTCCTACCGAATTTACATTAGGGAAAGAATCCCCTGGTATCGACGCTTCTTCTTCTTCCATCGGTGGGTAATTAGAGATACGTCATCAACAGACTCGTCTTCCGATTTTGAGGATGAGCACGCATGAGCATCACGACGTTCCTGGGAGTTTTAGTTTCAGGTGTCGAAATCGTCTTTATATTTGCCCCCGTTATAGGATTCCTATAACAAACTTCTATTTCTTAATCTAATAATTTATGTGTCATGCTGAAAAAACCGAAAAAAGCATGAAAAAAGTAAGCACATAGGTTGTACTTGGGCGCCAGTCGTGTGTTGCAAAAAATCGTCAATATATTTTTTGCAAGCTAGATACTTATTAGCATGTTGTTTTTGACTTAATCACATTAAATATTTAATGTATCATCGCGTCTAGGTATTAAAAAACAGTATTCCAAACGAAAAAGCATAAATCAGATACTCACGATCCAAAAAGGTGGGTCCCCTAAAATCCGTCCGAACTGATGTATTGATGCTTGTAAGGCGACTAGTCGATGCACTAATTTTAAACGCAAAGTAAAAGATCGTCTAACGCGCAATCGTGTGACGAAGGCCCCGTTCAGATATTAGGAGAGATTCTTTTGGAAAATTATTCTTATAAACCAATCCATCGTGTATGGCACGCTTCGAAAGGGATATGAGGGAAGCTTGCTTAAAAGGCTTGCGTGCCAGATCCTGTCAAAGGCTTTAGAAATGTCCAATGTCCAAAAAATGTTGCTTTTCTATAGCCTTGCTCTATATGTGACAGGCATATGTCCAAAAAATGTTGCTTTTCTATAGCCTTGCTCTATATGTGACAGGCATACAGAAGTAGATCGCCCTCGCCGGATACCGTTTTGGAAAATACTAAGGGGGCACGACAGGAGACTGATGTTGAATACAACTTCCATAGTCTTGCATAGAATGGAAGTGACTGACATAGGTGTATAGTTGACAGGGTCAGCTCTGTTTCCTTTTTTCGGCACAGGTTGCACTTGCGCAAGCTTCCACGACCTGGGAACTACATCAGTCTCTAATGAGAGGCGATACAGTCGTGTGAAAACAGGAGACAATTCAGGCGCATAATTACGTAGGTCTATTGCTGGAATTCCATCTGGCTCACGCCTAGACTCCGCAGAGATCTAAGTACCTCTTTTTGGCGTATGCGAACTGGTGCCATAGTGCAGCCAGCCTGAGGTAAGGTAGGCGGTAGGTTCCCTGCGGCATCCAGACGCGAACTCTCTGCAAAGAGTGAGGTAAAAAGATTCGCCTTCTCTTCCGCATTAAGAGCCAGCGAGCCGTCCGGCTTCAGCCGGGGTAGTAATGATGGGCGACAGAAGTTAGTTTCGACCGCTTTGGCTAGGGGCCAAAAGGAATAGCTACCTGCTGCACGCTATGCAGCGTACATGGTCGAACTTAGCCCTACGTAACAGGTTTTTGCACTTCTTGGCGGCCTTATTAAAAGCATTCTTCAGATTCCGAGTACTGGGAGCTTAGCGTAGTCGAGCATCTGCCCAAGCTTGTTTTTGTGCTTCAGCACGGCTACAGTCAGCGCACAAGCATGGCTTGGGGACCATTGGGTACCTCAGAGTATGGTAAGTATGTAATACTCCATACCCAAACGCAACACTTCGACTACAGCAACAGCACAGCTCGACGAGTCTCCTGAAGAAAAGCAAGCCTTCCAGGAATATGAAGAACAGAAATGGCGCATTTCGTTCAATCTGCTAATCTGTATCACCACACCCGTCTCTTACCACTAAAGTTCTGATCGGGTGGGATACAGTTTTCACCAGACAATGGTCGGAAGTACCCAGTGGGGCAACATTATCACAGAGTATCGCTCTGGATCAGTTGTTAGCAGAAGGCCCAAGCAATTAGCCGTATGAGACTCAACATCTAAGATCCTGGTTTATATGGCTATCAAAGATTATTTCTGATTTAATTCGTGTTCTTTTTCTCCAATGTACTAATTTTGGTGACGATGTTCAATTTTGGTGATCAAACAAAATTTCATTTCCATATATCTTTAAAACTACATTTGACATTTAGAAGCCACGGTAAGATATTCTTTTTAGAATTAATTTTTAATATAATACCAACCCATAATGTTCACTTAAAACACAAAAATAAAAGCAAAAAAAAAAGTAAAAAAACCGTACCTGTTGAAAATTCCTGGTTTAATTAAGTTTAAACTTTGAACACAAAGGCTAGAGCAAATTTTGTGGTCTTTTCTTTTAAATCTAATATCATTTCATGGAACGCCGCGTTGTATTTCGTCTTTACGGTACACCCTTAAAAGGCCCTTAAAAACACATATTTTGTTATAAAATGATTGGCATTGTTGAACGACGTTGATGCTATCGCCATTCTTGTAAATAACAAATATTTAGTTTATGAGGGTCAACGTCGTCGCCCTAAAATCCATCGGGATTAATTTAGGAGAGTAATTAGATCAAACCCAATCAATACATCAGCATCTAGCAGACGCCTCAAGTTGTCTAAATTCACCCCTACCGCATGGCTCCGTCTGCAGTGTAATACTTTACAATATACGTAAATCTAGAAACCAGAATCTTCCTTGGTTCTGTAGAAATGTTACAATACACGAGTGATCTTCTTTATACTTCAGGTCTTAATATGTATTTGTTTGACGTCGTCTTTTAATCAGGCTGGCTGGGCACGAATTGACTATTTTTTTTTAAGAATTCCTAAATTCACCTTCAAACATGGTTTTTATGCAATAATATCCCAAAACCTGGAAAGTCCAATAGCGTTTTAGTAGATAGTGATTCTTGATTATGAGTATACTAGTATTGTAGCAAAGTGTGAAAAGAAATAGTCTGCAAGGCTAAAAAGGTCACATTGGCAGAATCATAATATTATGATTAATTGACATTTTCGTATTATGAATTTTCAAACAAGACAAACGAAATTCATATATTTCGCAGTCAAATGTCAAATCGATGAATTGCATTGTATGGATAGTAAGAAATTCATAACATGAATTGTCAATTAATCATATTACGATTCTGCCAAGGCCTTTTTAGCCCTGCCGGTGGGGCGTTCATCATCTTACTCTGAAGTTGCTATATAATGCGCTTAGGTACAATAATGTGTTTCGCATCAGAGAACAAATCGGATGAATACATTATCTGTGCAGAGCATGTGCAGCGTTAACGTCAAAATTCCTGCGGAGTGTGTGGTTGTTTCATCCCCAGAATGGAAAAAAAGGTTCCATCCTCTAAGGTTTGGATGCTGGGGCATCACAGGTAATGAACGTGTTCACATCCTGTCTGACTGAAAGACTTCGCATTATTAAATATTCCACTTATCTGTGTACCTTGCTTTATGACATTTCTTTGGAACTTGTTAAGTCGAACTTGGCTCTTATTAATCCAGTTAAACTTTACAAAAAAAAAAGAAATAGTAATTCGCATTATATAATGTTGCATATACGACTGACGACAAATTGATATTTCATTCCTTTATTTTTTTCTTACTATTTACTATTTTCCATCCTCTAACATTTTTTCCACCTCTATTGACACTGGGGATGATCGCCATAATTTTTTTTTATGTAATATCAATCAATATATCAATATATCAATAATATCATCAAGTGACGGGACGAACAAGTCGTGCGCCTTATAAAACTGTCACTGGCACAAGCCGGAGGCCTAGTGGCGGCCATAAAGGAAATAAAAACAATAATAATTATAATTTGTTTCAGAGACATGTGTTATACATAATTTCATCAAATTTTGTATTATTTGCTTACTAGTATTTATTCCATTTTGATATTTGCAGAATATTTAAAAATGGACTCCATTTTAAGAACTGTAATAATCGCTCAAAGAAATATAGAGTTAGAAGAACCATATCTCATTATTAACGAAAACATTTCTCCTAAGCTAAATGAATTTCTCCGTTCTATGGAAAATATAAAATTTGAAGATGGCGTCTATCATACTTATTACGGAGGATTAAAAGTGATAGTAAATAACTTTTTGGTTTACTGGTCAGCCGTAATAAATGAATGTTTTAAGGATGTAGATGCCTTGAGTAATCGTATTACCAAGGATGAATTACTGGAGTTGATTGACAGGTCCATTTCAATCCACGAAAACAAGCATGAAGAATTTGTAAAATGTTTCTTTCCGGTAGAAAACCCAGAGGACTTAGACTTATTTGAAGACCTTGAAAATAAATACGAAATTTTTCAACAAGGTATGGCAACATGCAGACAGGAAGTTGTACATTATGAAAGGCAAGAGCAACTAGACCAGTTTGTTATCAAAAATAGCGAATTAGGAGCGAGAAAAAAGAATGAAGTGTTTGAATGTGCCCATACTATTATGGCGTTATGCATGGCGGAGAATGTTAGTACATTTTGATAATTCATTATCATTCGTCTTATAAACACACTTCTGAAATAAGTGGGAAAACAACTTTTTTCATGATAATGTATAGATGATAAAAAAATAATTTCCGTGTGCATAACATTCAGCAATAAACACATTAGTCAAATAAAATATAAAAATAATTCATTTACTTGTTGTTAACATTTCCCAATCATTTCTAATGTGGTTACCTCAAAGTAGTAAGAAAAATCGATACCTCGAACCACTGGCGCTTGCGCGACAGCTAATCAGCGCTAACGCATGGCAACGGTGTCTGTTAATCGTGGGGTGTCAATATTATTCACAATTTTTCGAAAATCATTGGGACGCCATAACTGATTTATTTATTAAGTATTTTAAAAGAGAACCGATTATGTATTTTTCATTTCTATTATACAGTCAGCGCCCTTGAAATAGTCAATGGTTTTCTTAATGCCCTGTATATGTGACGATTACAGAGACGGTACTATGCGGACCATCCAATTCCGCCTCTAGCCAGATTACTAGCCTAGCAGACGTCGCTCTTGTGCTAGCCGCAATACGACAACTATCTGCGTATTCGTGTGTATCCGTCAATTCGAAAATTTCGAACACTAGAGTGAATTAGCAATCATTGCCAAACAGGGACCATATATTTACCAAGAAATGTTTGCAATTATGAACATAGGCTGAAAGGAATGAAACGCGAACCTCATAATATCATCGAATAATAAGTACTTTAAGTACAAATTAAGAGCGTACTTTATTTATTTTGGCAAAGTTGCATTGTCATTATATAGTCCTGAACTGACGAGAGAAGTAAATGGCCCACATACAAATATTTCTCCTGGCACGGAAATCGAACTTGGGACCTCTGCGTGGCTGTCGAGCTTGGTAACCGTTGGGCCACACAGGGAGTTTATTATTCTATTAGGCAATACATAGGCATAGTCATAAAAAATAACAACAATTGACCACTCATAATTATGACCGGTCAGTGTTTCATTCAGAGTGACAAATACCACTACAATGGGTTGCATTCAAACGACTCTATACCGTAAATGTCTTGTGCACCAACTTGTACAAGATTGTACAAGATGTGGTACTCAAACACCTATACACATAACACAGCAGATGCGGCTGTGAACTTCGAATACTGGCGATAGAGCGATACTCAAACTCCTTAGTAGTTAGCTCAGACACACAGATGTCTAATCGGGCACTAGCTGCCACTGTCATTTTTTATGTTCTTCCGTGCATTCTTGTATTATTCGTCATATCAGCCCGAAAACGTCCACTGCTGAACATAGGCATCCTCCAAAGATTTCCAGACTAGCCGATCGGACGCGACGTCCGTCCATCGGTTACCTGCCGCCCTTTACCAGGTCATCCGTCCATCTAGTAGGGGGCCGGCCTAATGAACGCCTTCCGGTTCGTGGTCTCCATTTGAGAACCTTTCTGCCCCAGCGGCCACCAGTTCTACGAGCTATGTGCACTGCCCACTGCCATATATTCCAACTTGCTAATCCTTTGAGCTATATCGGTGACTTTCGTTCTACGGATCTCCTCATTTCTGATTCGATCATGTAAAGAAATGCCGAGCATTGTTCGCTCCATAGCTCGTTGAGTGACTTAGAGTTTTTTTATGAGACCCATAGTAAGTGACCACGTCTCAGAGCTGTAGATCATCACTGGCAACACGCACTGCTCGAAGACTTTTGTCTTCAAGGACTGCGGTATTGCGGATGGGAAGACGTCCTCGAGCTTCCCGAAAGTTTTCCAACCGAGTCGGATTCGGCGATTGACCTGTTTCTCAAAGTTGACTCTGTTTAATTGGACGGTTTATACGAGGTAGACATATTCGTCAACAACTTCGAGAATAGAGGTTCCCACTGGTATAGGAGTGGGTACGGCATGGACATTCGACATAAGTTTCGTCTCGTCCATGTTCATATTTAAACCCACTGCTGGGTAACTCTATTGAGGTTACTCGGTAACCTCAATAGAGTTACTCGTGGTTAGAGTTACCCGAGTTACATGGTACCGAGTTCTGTCGACGATTCTGCCATGACCACGATATCGTCAGCAAATCGAAGGTGAGTGATGTACTCGCCATTGATGTCGATGACGTGTACTTTCCAGTTCAGTAACTTGAAGACATTTTCCAATGCAGTGGTGAACAGTTTCGGAGAAATGATGTCTCCCTGTCGCGCCTCTCTTTGCAATTGGATCATTATTACACTAAGCTTACTTAATATTTATTGTTACTATGTTCAGTTGGCCAAAATTCGAGCAAGTTTAATAGAAATAAGAAATCGAATTCAGCAAAACCTATGTAAGTTATGTGATAATCACGATAATGCACTGTCTGGGATGCTCGATGAATTATATGATAAAAACAAAGAAAAAATACTAATAACACGTCAAGAACACAAGCTCTCTGTGGAGGAAGCAGAGGTAAGTGATTTTACAGGTCTTCTTTATAATCTTTTAATATTCGCAGGTGGGTATATTGTATATATTGAGTCAGGTCAGGGCAGTGACCCGGGGTTAATTTCGTTGCTTGTAGTACTGATAATACAGAGAACACTCTAGTGTGAGTAGTGTGAGTAGAATTGGTGTGGGTTGATGTCCTGGCGCTTTATTCTTATTTCGGATGTATATTTTAGGTTCTCGCCTCGCCGATGGCTTAAATACAAAACGTGATTTTTTTTAATGAGAGAGGCGGCATACTCTGTAGTCATCAGGTTCAAGAACCTCCAAACAATACGTGCCATTTTAAGCAACGCCGCTTTCTGCATTTGTGCTGGTAGCGACATACCACAAAAATCTAGCCGCTTTAAGTTATTAGCGAGACTTGTTGGAAATAACCAGTTTGCAGACAAAACAATTGGGATTATTTCTGTAATATCTAATCATAGTTGGTTTAAAATTACAAACTGGCGTGGTTCTACTTGAGATCATCATTACCGACAACAATAGGATTAAGTGCTACCGGGTAATTTTGTTGCAAACACTTGCAGGTGACGGTACTTGTAGCGAACTTGATATTTTCTCTTTTCTTATCTTTACTCTGAATATATTTGCAAATTTACTCAGTTGTTTTCCAAACTTCGAGATGGTGAATTTTAAATCTGTAAGTAGGTGTATATTTTGCGATTAATGTAATATAATAGGGTATTATTTCTGCACCTTGCAAAACAAACTCAAAATTGTAAATGATAACATCGTACAACAGACAACAACAGCAACAACGCTTATGTGGAAACTCGCCAACCAGGAAATCTACGATTTTTTCGAACCAGGGCAGAAACTTAGAGTGGCGCCCTCTCTCTATAAATTGTTAAAAAAACTGTAAAACAACTAAAATAATGTCACAAAAAATGGGTGGCAATTTTTTGTGACCGGGAGAATAAGAACCTTTAATAAATTTGCACACTTTATCACCTATTAGCTAATGACTTCATTGTGTGACATAAAATTAAATATGGGAAACATAATAACCAGAAAAAACAATAGGCAATTCAGCTTTAAAAAATTGACTAAAGGATACGTTCATAAATCAACTTGGGTTGTGTTCAGAAACCAACCGGGCGTACGACAGAACAACGGCAACGTCAATGCTGTATGGTACGCGCTTTGCGAAACAAGTTTTTTTTAAATATGATTTTGGCGCCCCCTGAGATTGCCACCTAGGGCAGGTGCTCACCGGTTTGCTAAATGATGTCCCCGTATTTGTAATGTCTGTTTAATTTAACAATATCGTTAATGACCAGATTAATAACACAATAAAAAATCTACGCGTAAAAATTGAAGAGCACCAGATTGTTAACAAATCACTTCATCACATTGAAGATGAATTAAAGTACTGGGAAAAAAGGTTATCGGAATTCGAAAAGATTGAACACACTATATTGAAACTGAGGGCAGAACTACGGAACACGGAGGAATACGAAAAAACTTTTAAAGAGATGAGGTGAGTTTTTTAGTGTGTTGAAGAAATTTACGATACACTTGACGATTAGGTGAATTAAAGTTTTTGTCTTAAAAATTAAATTATATTTTCAGTGATCCGAAACAACGTGGAACAAGGCGGGATTGTTGGGCAATTATGGCGGAAAACATAAAAAATAGAAAGGAGATTATTAATGAAAAATTAGTAGAAGCTTCCAAAGCATTGATCACCTTTTTTGCCGTTCGTGGTAAGTACCATAAAATCGTAAAATAGATATTTTGGGACTTATCTATACATCGTATCCTTTTTTGAGGATTAGAAAAAACGTGAACGAAAACATATTATGGCAAAAGAAAACATCGTCTGAATTAATAACAAAATTTCCTTCTGCATAATGCTAATAGTTAATATTATAGCAGTGGCAGCAGCAGTTTAGTAGTAGTAGAACTCCTTGTGAAAGAGTTCGTCCAGGGTAGTACTGCCAATTTACCTATTTCTGCCGCCAAGCAGTAATAACAGCATTACTGTGTTCCGGTTTTGATGGGTAAGGGTGCTGGTGAAATTACAGGCCCATGGGACTTGTCAACTTACGTCTCAGGGTGTCGGGCGCAGTGGCAGTGCCCCTCAGATCTTTGCTATTTAATGCTCTGAGTGGCACTGTAACTGTATGGACAGGCGTGTACCTTACCATCAGGCTCACGAGTTGTTCCTCCCGTCCCGTGCTATAAAAAAAAGCAGGCAAGCTTTTACAATTTGTTTCAGGACAAAATAGAATATTATACAAGGATGACATCGGCTCGTACATAATAGATGACTTTGGACATCAAGTTTATTTGTTTGACCACGGAAGCGATCTCCGTCATGTCACCTGTGATGGGACTTTTAGACAAGTAAGTAGGTACAGTCAATATTAAAATAATTTAAGGGTACTAATTAACCAAGAATATCTGAACCAAGTTAGTTGCGGATATGGGCGTCCGCATCTGCAGATACACCGTATTTAATCGCGTCGTAACATTAATTTACTAACCAATCAGAAACAGATTGCAAACCCAAAAAGCAGCTCAGCTGTCGGTCTTACCTTAAGAGAAAATTCAGTATGATTACGTTAGGTAGGTTGATTGATTTTAGGCAAGTTGGTTTTTTGTTAATCAATGTCACAAAACCATTAAAAAAATCAAAATCTCTTCTTGCTTTTTCATGTAGATTTAATAAGGATTTGTGCCTTTTTTACTTTATCAAATTTTATTTAGATAAAATCATTATCCGCACCAGCAATTTGCTGATGTTAATATAGTGTTAAAAAATAATTTCAGTGGTATGAATTCAGGCTTACTTAACTTCAAAACAAAGATGCAACTTATTTAACTAATGTAATAAGGTTTATTATTATTATTTTGTATACTGGTGGTTCATTTGACCGCTCAAATCATTTTAAAGCTGACTGTACAAAACAGTAAGTATTTATAACCAATATCAGTATTTTTTAAATTTCTTTAGTGGATAAGAAAAATGTCAGTGGCTAGAAACTAACCAATGAAATATATTATACCATTTTGTACTCGATACACAACCTCAAATTCTTGCTTGGATCTTGATTTATGTGCCAACAAATGCTCTTTTCTCCCAATTGTCTCCTGTGAAAAGATCGGAAGAACACAAAGCGTTCTCGGAATCACCTTTGACCAAAATCTCTCCTTCTATCCGCATATACAGAGTTTGTGTTAAAAAATTCGGAAGATTATCTTTGTTTTCAAACAGCTAAGACATATTGCTGACTTCAAAACTTTAAAAAATATATATCTAGCACTGGTACAATCATTACTTACCTACTGCATTACTTCTTGGGGTGGAGCTGCTAAAAATAACCTAATTATATTGGAGCGAGCTCAAAGATGTTTATTGAAAGTTGCACTCTGCAAATCCCGACTATTTCCTACATCCCAACTGTACCTGGAAGCGAATGTGCTATCAGTAAGCTAGCTTTATCTGTTTCCACTTTAATTTGTTAACACGCAATGACTCCCCCAGCCAGAGCCCCGTCCATATTTGGCAAACGAAGGCTTTTAACTACTTCTGATAACATTATTAACAAGACCTCATTAGCACGAAAATTCTTCTACTTTAGAGGTCGTCGTTTATAGAACGTGTTAAATAAACAACTTAATTGTACCCCTTGCTAAACAGGAAGCAAAAGAAGTAATTACAAAATGTTTGTTAAAACTTTCTTACGACGAAACTTAAGAGCTTCTCATAAAAAGCTTCTCCCTAATTAAAACTTAACTTATAGGACAGTATACAAGCTCATTCACATTCGAGCACTCAGACAAGAACGCATGCACGCACGTACGCACACAAACACACACAAAACACATAGCTATAGTTGATAAATTTAAAAATAGTTACTTACCTTATTTTATATAGGTATTGTGTTTTCACAACATTTTGTTACAATCTTGTTATCCGAGATAACACATACATATTCCAAATCAAAAAACTAAAGCCAAACCATGTGGCAAATTATACATAAAGAAACAAATCGTAGACCCCCGGACAGTCAAACAAAACATTATGTTGAAACACAAACAAACAATACACACGGATCAAAAAATTGCATATTGTTTCAATAATCAAACAAACAATACACACGGATCAAAAAATTGCATATTGTTTCAATAATTAAGTACCTGTCTTTAATAAGTAGGTAAACATACAGAATTCGATATGTGGCAAAAGCTCAAATATGACGAACACAGTCGATAACTCATTTTTTTACAATTGGTAGATCCAAGTGAAAGTTTAACCCTTAACCGGAATCGATATTTTGATCAATGTAACTGGAATCGTGAGTCCATATGTACTCTCCAATTTAAAAACCTATATAATTCGTAACAAAGTTACAAACGTAAATGGTTTGCGAGTGTATTAAAACAAGTTTTATTTCAAATAAAAAATCAACTTGTATTGAGCAATATCTTTAAATTATGTTTTAACACAAATTTTTTGTACCTATTTTAACCACGAATCTACGTGTTTTGAAAATTAAACGGTTTTTGTTGTTGTTGTCGGGTCCAAATTGATCCATTATTCCGGTTAAGGATTAGAAATGTATGCACAAAATGAAAAAGGCTTTTTCCAATAAGGATTTTAAATTTTCACATGCTATTTTTTATCACAGTTTTATTAAAATCACATTTTCGATCGTTTCTAATTCTGCGTTGTTTACGGTCAATGTCATTGATACTTTTACATCCAGGTAAATTAACAAACAGTTTAGGTACACTTATTACTATATTAACAATTTTTATGAACACTTTTACTTTTTTATTTATGCCGGGAGCGAACGTGGAAAACGAAGCGCTAGAACTCGTGTAGTCGGCGCTCGACATACCCTCTCTTCGAAAAATTAAAAAAAAAAGTGAGAGATACGCGTTACTACAAGTGTCACCACTTAAGACACATTCTGTCTTAATTTTTGACGGTTTGCTCTGTGGGCGCTGGATGACGAGGTCCCGTGTTCCATTCCCGGTAGAACCAACTCGGAAAAATAAACCTTTCTAAATTGGTTCAGGTCTGTTGTGGGTAGTGACCCGGATTTCGTTAGTCAAGGCACAGGGAATTACCTAGTTTGACACAAAGTAATTGTCTAGCACTGCAAAATACGTTCTTATGTGTATTTAAAACAAGAAACATGTCAATTACAAAATACATGTGTATTTAAAACGAGAAACATGTCAATTATAAAATACATTTTTAGGTAATAATAGAAATACAAATAAAAATACGTGTAATTACAAGTAATTCAAATACTAAATTCGTTGATAAATATGTCTTTCCATGGAAGTGAGCTTTGATCCATTGAAGTGATTGTTGTATGGGGTGCGGGTATGTAAGATTGGGTTGTGTTATTGTTTACAAACTTTCAAACTTCGTAAATGAAACTATAAAATGCTTGTATCCGTCACGAAGATCTCTGCCGCTACTAAAAATATGTCGATATCCCGTTGTTTCCTATGGGTCGTTCGCCTTATATAGCATAACGTCACTACGTCATAGTTCTAGGCAAACAACGAACGTTTTTGCGTTATAAAGTTCGTGATGAAGATGGTACATAATATAAAAAAGCCTTTTTTTCCTATAGTGACGCTATCATTCTCAGTTTGCGACATGTAGAAGATTTGATCCCGACAAAGTATATACATTTATTGTACACGGATCTGGTAAAGTAACAAGAATAACAAGCTATATATAGACACTTCGTACCTTGTAAATTCGGCAATAATCGTCGGCGTAAATCCGTTGACGTCAACCTTAACATGGCTTTATTGTAATCACTTTTTCGTTCCTTTCTAGTTTTACGTTCTTTACGATGACTGTCATTGGCATTTTTACGTCTAGGCATATTAACAACAAACACTTAATACTATAATCACTGGTTTTAATGAACACTTTTTTTTAATTTCAATCGGGAGCAAACGTGGACAGCGAATCACTAGAAAGCGAATGAAATAATAGCAGGTTCGTGTAGCCAGGAATTCGACATACTTACCCTCTTTATGAAAAATAAAAAAAAACTGAAAATAGTGTGGGATGTAGTGAGTGATACGTGTTACTACAATAGTATCGACGCATAAAGTATAATATTATTAACTGCGATCACTTACACTATACTTTCTCTATACATGTTATCGAATACGTCAAAAGTATATTTTCACCTGTCTTGCTCAGAAAGGCTTTCTCATTAGAAATCGATTCGCTCTGGGCCTTTTGGAGGGAAAAGGGTCGTTTTTATTTTGACTTTCAATTATTTTGTGAAATCTAGTTTAAAGTGGAATAGGATAGTGCTATTGTGCCTTAATCGAAGATTAAAACGCGAAATTATACGAATCTCGAACTAAAATATCCGTATCGGCCCGTTCTAGGGAATCCCGAGTCAATCCAAGCACGCCGCCTCAAATTGCCTATTCTCTTTATGGCGGCCATATTTACAAAAACATAATTAAACGAAGACATGGCTCAAAGGACTTGTATCCAAGCCAAAATTATTAATAAAAAAAATCATTAGAAATCTGCGCACAAAAGCGTTTTTACAACGCTAGCGTGGAAAAGGTTTTTGAAATTCGAATTTGACGATGGACTGTGGTGCACCTAATTTTTTATTTACATTTTTTATATTATATACATTACATTTATATTTATATTATATATTGTTTATGTAATATCCGATGGTATATTTTATTTTTATTGTTGTTGACATTAAATTAACAATGATAACTAATTTTGTTTATTAAAACTGATTTGTTACAAGTTCAACTGTTTTCTTTCATCTGCCATTTTCTCGCTATAGTGAGGCGTAAAGTTGTGTGTTTCGCTTATCACATGAAAGTCATACAAATAACAAGAACTATATGAAACAAACCATGGATATGTCTTAGAATAATAACGCATAGAAACCTAGCCCGCACACGCTAAGTGAGGCAAGTTAGAGGGTTCCAAATGCGCTCCCAGGAGCGCGCGGGCTGTTAGTGCTCAAGGTCATATTGCACCGCGAACAGCTCCAAAATTTTTTGCTAAAAATGACGAAATGTGCGGTAAATGGGTGTAAAAATACAACAGACAAACATAAAATAGACACTAACATCGCATTCCACAAGTAAGTAATGCGTTTCAACTCATATTTTTATGTAAATATTCACTAAAACAGAAAAATAATTTCGCGGCAACAAGATACGAAAGTGTTGCAAAGTAACGAATTTTTTTTCTCCCCATTTTACTATTCTGTTTCAAAATAATTATATTACGTAAATTTTAGTGGTGCCTGTAATTTCGATTTATTTGCGCATCTTGAACTAATATTTACTTGAATAAACATTAAATGTTTTCGTTAACTCCTGTAAGTGATTGGGACACTTAATTATTTTATAATACTTTTAACGGCTCTGCGTTCATGCTTTATTGAATAATTATTTATTTTAATTTTATTTGAATTGGAGCACATATTGCAACAAATTTACAGTATATATTTGTTTCTACTATAGTGTTGGCACCACCAGTACAACTTTGATAGCTTATTATATGTCTTTCTTTTCGTAACTCAAGCGAAATATTTTATATTGAAATATTTTATTTTCTTAAAAGGGGAGCATTCTTAAGCGATTTTTAATCTATTTTAACATTTATTTTCTTTAATGTTTGCTTATGGCATTTTCGGTTTTAGGTTTCGAATATGGCACTTATTTCTAAATCCAAGATGGCGGGCGCGATTTTTCGAATAATGGCAAGTTGGGTATCGTTTTCGAGATGTTTGGGAATGTTCAATACAAAATGGCACTCATTTCTAAATCCAAGATGGCAAACACGACAGTTCAAACAAAAGCAATATTCGTAATGAGCACCCCCAAATACCTCGAAAACGATACCCAACTTGCCATTATTTGAAAAATCGCACCCGCCATCTTGGATTTACAAATAGTGCCATATTCACATTGAGCATCCCCAAATACCTCGAAAATGATACCCATATAGCATTTTTTTGAAAAAATCGTGCCTGCCATCTTGGATTTAGAAATGAGTGCCATATTCGTAATGAGCACCCCCAAGTACCTCGAAAATGATACCCATATTGCATTTATTTAAAAACTCGTGTCCGCCATCTTGGATTTAGAAATGAGTGCCATTTTCGTAATGAGCATCCCCAAATACCTCGAAAAGGATACCCATATAGCATATTTTGAAAAATCGTGTCCGCCATCTTGGATTTACAAATAAGTGCTATATTCGTTTTTCATCGACAAAACCGAGCATATCTGTAGGCACCTGATCGACATTGTCGATCGACAGTAACGATCGACAAAATCGAGCACATCTGTAGGCACCTGATCGACAATGTCGGGCAAATCTGTAGGCACCTTTAACTTAATGATGAGTTAAGCAAGATACAATTTCCCCACTTTTGAGGGAAATGTGATTCCATGGCATCATTATTTGTATATTTGTGTGCGTGCCGACGAGCGTAGTTACAAGTTGCTTACGCCTACATGAATTTGATTTTTGCCTCACTTGTGACAGTTCGTTTGATATGAAACTATCATTCTATGCGTTATTATTCTAAGGGATATGTGTATTTTTTAAATTATATAAATGTTATTATTAAAAAAAAGATCGAACATAATAGTAAATATTTCTTCGATCCGGCTGGATTCGAACCAACGTCTTCCAGCAAAATTAGCGGACCTTAAGAATTCTCTATGTGCTTGTTCAAAAAAGTCGTTAAAAACCAAAAACGAAGATCTGCGTTTTTGGTTTTTAACGACTTTTTTGCCGTAATAATTATATCAAACTAGTGAGGTCATTTCACAAGAATAATTGAATATTATGGTGGTTAAATATGTTGACATTCAATATATTTAAAAAATTACATAATCATAAATGGAATCTTTAAACCACTCGAGTTCTTATTATTAGGCAGATGGGGCCATAAGGTCTTGGTATAAACTTATAGGTTCCCGTGCGAATCATCTACATTTTTTTGTGCAGGTTAAGGAAACCGACAAATATTATTTTGACGTTTACGGTCGATACGTGTTTAACGAACATGGCAAAAAGGTTTACCAATGTGGACCCTGCACAAGTACATATGATTTAGGGTTTGACGATCTCTTTGTAAAGACTACTTTGGATTGCGGGCACTCCGAAGCAAAGAACCCACATTGTAGGATGCAGTTCAGAGATCCAATGGATATAGAAGTTTTGCCTTCAGTTGAACCAGTTGATATAAGAAGTTAGTAAAGTAGTAAATTGATATATATTGCAACTTTACAATGACAGTGACCAATACAAAATATCAACTATTGGAAATATCTACGCAAGATAAGATTTGAAGCTGTAACATTTTCATAATATTTAATTGATTACTATTGAAGTACCTATTAAAGTTTGTGTCTTGTTAGTATTGGAAAATAATAACGAAATATTCAGCTTTACAACGGCAAAAATTGTTTTCGATTATTTTAATATTTAACAATATAAAAACATTTGGGAAATGAAACTATTTTTCCGGATTTAAATCGCGTATATTTGATTTTTCAAGTAAACCGACGTTTCGGGCCATTTGCAGGTCCCATGGTCACGATTGACTGATAATCCTAGTCGCCATATGGTCACTTTTTTACAGAACTTTTTGTTATCATTTGACGTATTAAGAATTTAGTCCTTTTAATTTTATTCAGCTTAGCAACGTGTTATGACCTTATCAGATTAAGTCGTTTTAATTGTGACAGAAAGTGCTCAAAGTAATAAAGTAAGTCGCGACGATTTGCGGAACAAGACGATTTACGGAATAAAAATGGTTCAATTGCTAATCTGTCACTTTTTCGCCAACAGTAACGGTGTGTTATCTTTGTAAGTGCAGATTCAATATTGATAATCCGACGCGGGAGTGGCATTTTCAAACTGAAGGAACGAAATGAAAAAGACCCTTATATTTGATCATATTCGAGCTTTAATACAATTTCAGATTAATAACCCCGTGAACAATAATTTTTAAAGTAGTTTTACAGTATAAACTCATTTTATTCATTTTTTGAATAGAGTCACTTTCATTGTAAATGTGAGATACCTATATTAAATTCATAAGAAGCTAAGTGTATACTTTTAGTATTTAGGTAAAGTAAAAGTTGGTGTTACATTATCTATTCAAGACACGATCTTATTTACCATTTCTCATAAGTTAACTTTTTCTTTTAGTGACTAATCTACCTCCGTGTAAACTGCCTCCGTGGCCGAACGGTTACCATACCGGACTGCCACGCAGAGGTCCCCGGGTTCGATTCCCGGGCCGGGAGAAATATTTGTATGGCCTACATTTATTTCTCTCGTGAGTTTGGGTGTAATTTGTGGTTGTCTATGTGTGTGTCCATGGCACCCGCGACACAGGGTTTCCCTAGTATGGGGCTATATTGAGTGTGTGCGTTATTATTATTATTATTATTATAATCGATACACGATTTCAACGTACGTCGTGTGAGTATCGAGCATTCATTCATTGCGTATCAACCATTTAGATATAACGCACTGCTACTACAATATTGTTGTAACTCAAAATATGTGAAAGTCAAATATATCGCACTGCTACTACAATAGTGTTGTAACCCAAAATATGTGAAAGTCAAGATAATGTAGTTGCTGAGCGCAAAATTTGAATCTCAACACGGCAATACAACCGTCGTTAGAATATTGTGAGAAATAATAGAATTAAAAGATAAATAGAAACTTTTTGTAAGCTAGGCCTGGATAAAACGGCCTTTACCCAAAAGATACGAAATTACATTATGCCTTTTATTTTTAAATATACTCCCGGACACCTTGCATTTTCAATACTAAATGCTTAGCTTTAAACAAAGCTCGATTGATCAAAAACTATTACGCGACTTTGAAACTGATATACTTAACGTCATTTCCTTAATAAAATAATCCTCATTGAAAATTTTAATTTAAAAATCCGGAGAAAACTTTTTCTTCGATGATAACTATATTTTTATATTCTAGCCCTATATGAATAAAATGTCTCGAGTTATGTGTCCGGGAGTGTATATTTGGCAAATAGGAAATTATTTACATGTCTGTAATAAACTTTAACCTGTACATAAATTTTAATAATCTTTCACGAGGAGTGAGTAAATCTTTTTTCATAGATCCTAAAAAAAATAACACTTTTTGACTTAATACACCTATTAACAGCGCGATAATGTCTTGTGGTATCGAGTGCCTTCCTCCGATTACCATGCGGGACTGCTACGCAGAGGTACCAGGTTCGATTCCTGGGCCGGGAGAAATATTTGTATGGCCTATATTTATTTCTTTCGTGAGTTTAGGTGTAGGTTATTTGTGGTTGTCTATGTGTGTGTCCATGGCACCCACGACACAGGTTTCCCTAGTGCGAGGATATGTTGAGTGTGTGCGTTATTATTATTATTTTAAACTATTTCCATACTATATAGTATGCTCATTATAAATTGATATTGGCTCAGGAGATGCAGATGTGTCGCATCCGCTTCTTGGCAGAATCTCATTGTCTTTGCTCTAGTTTGCTTGCGTTTGGGCCGTATTTTATTATCCTTTATTTATGTTAATCAAAATACTTCTTTTGCAGAAAGCCTGCCTTCTGAAGTTGTAAAGTACCTGTGGGATAATCTTTCACACATTTTGCCTGACGCTCTTTATGAGACCGGAGAGAAGCAACCCAAAAATCCTATTCATTTACTTTCTCATTCAATTCTCAGGAATAAGTATGTGCATTTATTTAATTTTATACTAGATTTGACTTGGCTATTCGTTGAGACTCCTAAGGGAGCATGCTACCACATGTTCGTAGCTCAAGAGCGATTACGAGAACAAGCATACGGGTGGCCGAATTTAGGAACCATATCAACGATGAAATATTTTCAAAATATTTAATGTTTTAAAAGCTCTACACTGGCATTACTTGTGGTACATAGGAGTTATGTTCAAATCCCCTCGGATCCGTCACAAATTAATAGATCCCAGTAATACAGCCTAAATGAAGTATATATAATGAAAATTAGCGTGTGCAAATAATGCTAGGATGGGTTGGTGGAATATAAATGTAATAAATAAGTTGATCCTGCTTAAAAACGGTATAAGAATTTGTTCAAAAATTATTGAAGCACTGAAATACACACATCAAAAGTGTCTAGGGATCAAGTGAATATTTTTGAAATAAAAATTATTTAAGCAATATTTACCAAATCCAGTCTTCCAGGACGACTTCTTACTTTAATGCTTATGTTTTATTTAACCGCTTACCCCTATATTTAATTAAAATAAACTAAAATTGATGTTTTTGCAAATTGTGGGAAAAAACTCAAATTAACGGCGTCAATTAAATGACAAAAAAATGGCGAAAGTGATGATTTTGCTCATTTTTATTGTATAGATAAGAAAATTAATAATCTGTATTTCCACCATTAACACGAATCACACAATTACAGCGATTTGGCATGCTTAAGATGAGTTCATCAAAATCACTTTGAGGAATGGCCGCCCATGTGTTTTGTAACAAGTCAAAATATTGTTGTAGAGTATGTACGGTATGCATACTCGGCACAGCTCTTCTTTGAAGCATATCCCATGCGTGCTCAATTGGATTGAGGTCTGGTGATTGAGCAGGACACGGCAGAACGTTGATACGAGCTTCGGCAAGAATGCGTGTTACGACTCTAGCCGTGTGTGGACGTGCGTTGTCATGCATTAGTTGAAATGAATCACCCAACTGGCCTCGCAAAGGGATGATAACATCCGAAACAATCCTCTCTGCGTAAACTTGAGCATTGAGGTTACCCCTGATCCAAATGAGATCGGTTCTTCCGCCGATCCAAATACCGGCCCATATCATTATTGTTCCCCCACCATATGGATGAACTTCCTGACAATATCTCAAACGTTCATGACGTCCAGATGTTCTCCAAACTCGAGTACGTCTTGTATCCGGTCTCATACCGAAGCGGGATTCATCCGAAAAGCACACATAGCGCCAGTCTTCTTCCTCCCAGTTTCTGTGTTCGCGAGCCCATCGTAAACGGGTCCTGCGATTGCAGGGTGCAATAGGTGGAACTCTGAAAGGCCTTCGGGATCGCAGACCCACTTCACGTAAACGATTTCGTATTGTTTGATCGCTTATTAGCAAGCCTGAGGAGCTGTGGAGCCTCGTAACCAACATCATGGCGGTCATGGTACGATTCCGTCGAGCAGTATTTTGGATATACCGGTCCTGTCTGCGAGTCGTGATGCGAGATCGTCCTCCATGTCGCTCGGCCACGCTGCCCGTCATGCGATAGCGCGTCCAGAGGCGACTTATGACGCTCTGTGTAGTGTTAAGAGTGAAAGCCACAGCACGTTGCCTGGAACCAGCTTCCAACATTCCGACGTCTCGCATCATCACTTCTCGGGTTAAATGATGTCGTCTCTCCATAATAATGTAAATTGTTTCGGTTCCGATGCAGATATTGTAATGATTTTGTCAAAACGCTATAACTCATTTTTATACAAAACCACATTGACAATCGATTTTCTTCTTATTATCGAATTTTAAACAATATTCCTTATTTAAATGTTAAAACTCACTAAAAAGTATCAATAGCGATACAAAAAAGTTAATATAATTAACCCTAATTGCAGCAATACTCTTAAACGTACTTGATCCCTAGACACTTTTGATGTGTGTAATTTTGATCAAAGATGCATGTTTCACCTTCGACTCACATCTGTACCCCAATTCTACTAATTTTCTTGAATCGACACAGGGTTTCCCTAGCGCGGGGCAAAAAAAAAACAAAAACAAATCCACTGGTCATTGTAATTATATTGAGGCTCCACTTTTTTTTTTTTTTTTTTTTTTATTGTGACTCGGCAAAATGACTGCACCGCGCCTGATGGAAAGTGCGAATACAGTCCAGAGATGAGAGTAACGGATGGAAAACACAAATATCTTCACTCCGTCACTATCATTTTGCCGGTCTGGCCAAATGCTTCTTCACACTACGTTTGAAGGACCCGATGTTATAGAGGGGAGGGAATACATGCGCCGGGAGTTGGTTCCACACTGATAATGTATTGAAATTATGATGTTTGTTTTTCTGCCAAAATCTAGTTTCATTGGAAGGGAGTGATGGCATTCATTCTTTCAATTAATCATGACGGTCGGTGATGCCTTACTAACTTACCTTAGTAATTTAGTCGTCAAATTAAATATATTTTATTTCTGTCAAATATTAGTAGAATGGCCATCGACGTGCTATTGAAGAGCCTACCTAAATACCAACAACTACAATGGCAGTTGAATGTAGTTCGATGGCTAGCCACTGATAAGAAATCCTGGCATGTGCAATCGACACACAACTGAAATGATTTAAAATTGGCAGACATTTGAGATTTTTTGAAATGCTTGCCTATCACTACTAAAATCATGAAATACGTTATTTTATTAGATACACCAGAACCAATGAGCAACTAGGTCAGAAGCGGGCCGAAGCAATGAAATATTATAATGATATATACACAAATCGCAAAGAGGTAAGGGTTTTATTATAGATAATTAAATATGTACGCAAGTTCTTAAAAACATATTTTAACTTATTTATTAATGGGGGTAGTTTTAAATTTATTTTGAAAGTGTCTATAATATTCCATTTGATCGTAATGTTCCTTACTAATTAATTATTTACTGCAACGACTTGACCAAAAGCCAGAAATATGCAAAAAACTAGTCACGTGTAACGATTAATCACGCTATGCCTGATGTTGTGATGATGAAATGTCCACTAAAGTCCACCAACGAGTCAGATGACCTGTGTGACTGAGAAGGTCCATGTGCGGGCTTGCTTGCACAGGTTATAGTGCGCTTGAACCAACAAACCAAGAGGTTGGTTGGTTCAGGGTCCTTTTAAACAAAACTTATGTAAATATATGTATATGGGACTGTCCCGAAGGATGAAAACTAATGCTACTACTAAAAATATCATAATTTGCGTTAATAAAATTGGCCTACTACCTACTGTTTAGAACCAAATTTTGTTTAAGTGATTTCATGTGCTAAAAAGTTATTCTTTATCTGCAAGTACAAACCATGTACTGTTCATAAAATTAATTACAAAATAGTAAGAAAATGAATATAAAAATATTCATGTTTTGTTTAATATATATGAAAATAATGATATAATGAATAATGGTTTTTTATTTACTCTTAATTTCAATTACCTGTTCGTTCCATTTCCAGAAAGCGGTTATTTACTATAAGGCTTGGAAAGAAAAGCAGGTGAAACCTAGGAAGCCAGAAGAATTCGATGACGCCGAGAGCAGAGCTGTCTACGACGCTTATGTAGCTCACCAGCATTTCACCAGTACTATTGAGAACCTTTAATTGTTTTCCAAAATTGGCGACTTTATGTAAAAAGTTTTTTTATTATAATAAAATTCTTTTTTGGTGTTTTTTCGTACCTTTTTTAAGTATATAAAATCATAGGTGGTGGGTATAGACGACCACAAACATTTTATTTTTATTTTATATCTTTAACGCTTTTAGAAAGATGTAAGTTTAAATTTTCGATTTGAAATGTTTGAATTTCGGGCTCATGAGTAAGTTGTAGTCTGGTAGGGGAGACCGGGCCTGGTAGTTCCCGGGGTAAGTTGTTCTCACAGCAATAACTTTGCAACAAAATTATATAGCAATACATGTGCAACACGTCGTTAAAGCTTCAGGTGATGCGCATTCTCAGTAGCCATTTCAGTTACTCTGGCGACGACGGAAGTGTTGCTACACACCCCGGACACTCCATACAACGGTTGAAAATTATTTACGTTACGTGATCAGAGCGGCAATATAGCGAAAATGCTAACGCGATCTCTCAATCTGTTATCCATGATTCTATTACAAGAATCCAGAATCCAAACAATTACACATGTGTATTATCTATTTATATCGATATACTCGTAATATAATATTTTTCATAATTCACTAACTAGAGTAATATTGAAGTTTATAAAAAATATATTAAAACCCCTTAAAATGTTATATTTTGGACATGTACTTTTAAATAAGATAACCAAGGTATTTGAAATTGCTAACCTGTCTTGAATTTAGTCTACGATGCGGCCCGCGCGACGCGCGATTACCGCGCGGCGGCGGCGCGATAATTTTATTGCGAGGATTTTTAATGTTGTTTCATAATAAATAGAATTCAGATTCGGCATTAATGTACATGAAGACGTGGTAACTGGGCGGTCGCCGCGCGGCGACCGCGCGTGAACTTTCTTAACGTGTAACTGGGCGCTAAGGGTGCTGGTGAAATTACAGGCACATGGGACTTATGTCTCAGGGCGCAGTGGTAGTGCCCCTCAGATCTTTGCAATTTAAAGCTCTGAGTGGCACTGTAACTGTTATGGACAGGCATATAGCTTACCATCAGGCGCACGACTTATTCGTCTTGTCATTTGATGTTATAAAAAAAAGTTCTCGCAAAATACATAATAATATGATCCTGTTTAGGCTAGGTCACCGTAACTTTTTACTTTCATTGGATTTACATCTATGTGCAAAGTTTTATTGAAATTGAATAACGGAAAGTGGGTGAAATTCAATAAACTAGGGGATGACCTAATTCGCCACTCATAAAGGTGGAATATCTTGTTTAAATTTGAGGTGACGCCTTTTCAACAAAAAAGTGTCATCGAAATCAGTTCACAAATGTCGGAGTAATCATAAAAATACAGTCGAATTGAGAACTTCCTCTTTTTTTCAAGTCGGTTAAAAATCTTAATAGTATTTAACCGCACGCCCAGTATTGGGACACGTTTTGGGGTTTATGATATCTTAATAAACCTATAAGTATACTTACTAATTGATACAGAGAGTTCGTATTTGTAATTAAAAAAATCTTCCTTTGTATAATATAATCACTTGTATGAGTAGGGGGACCTTTATTATAAAAACTTTAATATGTTCCTGAAGTTCTTTGAAATATTTTCATAAATTGGTACTATTGTTATTTTTCGCCCCCTCTGACAATTAGCTCATAAAAGTCGACAATAAGTAATTGTAAACAGGTCACAACCACCTATAGATAAAGAAATTCCATCTGCTCAGTGGATGCGGCATTACTTTCATATTAACCCAGTTTGCACGCAGCGCTAGAGCACTCTAATAAGCGTCATAAGTGGTGCTAGGATCTAGTGATCAAAGAGACTCGGTCCTTTAAGAGGGAGCAGAGGAAAAATTCCTAATCTTCGATTTGATCTTAGAGGGGTATAACCAATTTAAAGTTAAAAATAAAATATTGTATGAGTAATTACACGATATATTCAAGCATAGACATTAATTAAAAACATAAAACAATAAAGTTTCCTCGATAGATAAAAATCACGAAATTACCTCTAATTTTCACAATTTTTCGATTTATCCTCTAAATGCTACACGTTATTAGGACAAAAATTTAATCCGTTTAATTAGAGTTATTCCGCTAAAACGAATTTGGTACTTTTAATGCGCAAAATTCAACATCTCTTGTCGCATGTCACGCGAATATTTGTTTCACAAATTTGGGCGGAGCCAACGTCAAAACTTTTTTGGCATACTCCCTCTTAAGGCCAATTAAATAGACTGGACTCAATTTTACTGCACTCGACTCTAAAATTAAGGCTGGGGAGGTTAAAATTGTATTAATTAATAAAACTCGTCATTATACTAATAGACTCAACGACTCGAGTTGTTTTTAAAAAGACTCCCGCTGTAGTTGTGTATGATATTAAAACACAGTGCAAAATCGAGTTATCACTTTCACATCTTATTAAACTCGGTTTTATAAGATGTCAAAGAGATTATATGTTTCCATGACTGTCATACGAAAATATACCTGGTACACCGGTTCCAGTGTGTTCCAAATTATTGACCTCTATTTAGTTAATAAAAACTACCCAGACTTGAAAATATTTCCACTATTACAGTGGACAAAGGTAGATAGTTATTTTAATTTCCTAAATGTTCTAGAGTTGCCTATGACACACGGCACACTTCACGTTCTTTTATTTCTTTAGAAGCCTTTTAAGTAATGAGTTAGGTTTTAATTCCTGGGGTTAAAAGATTACGACTCAAATAAGTCTTTAGTTTGTGTCTTACGACTCAAGACTTAGTGTGAGGCCAGACGAGCGTAATTTTGTGAATTGTGAGTTGTGTTTTTTGAGTTGCACAGTTTGCGCTCTACCGAAATTCGGTTGGAGCGCCAGACGAACGTATTTCATTCAGTTGATTTTAAGCGTTTATACGAGGTGTTTGTGTCGTAATAGTGTTATGGATCCATTAAAAATAGTTTCTATTTATGAAGCATTAGAAGACGATGTTAGAAAAAGAAAAAGAAAGCTAGGTACATACACTCAATATGAAACGATTAAAGTATGGGCAGTTTCATATATTATATACAAGTATATGTGAACATCCAGATCAATTTGTTAAGTCCTACCACATGCCAATAAATGTTTTTCAAGCATTATTACGCCTATTAAAACCCTTTATTACTAAGTCAGATAAAAATATGAGACAAGCCATCAGTCCAGAGGAAAGACTAATAATAACAATCAAGTAAGTTGTTCAATTATATTGTTTATATTTTAATCTCCGTATCGAACATTTTCGCAAGAAATATCTAGACTAACACGCATCCTATACCAAGCTGAACCCTTCCCTCACCCTTACCTCCACTCACGCCAGCTCGCCTCACGAGTCGTCATTACGACTGTGAGTTGGCAGATAACTCATTTTGCATCGCCATGTGAAATAAACCATACTTTTATATGAAACCGAATGCAGCGCAAACTACGCAACTCAAAAGTAACAAAATTACGCTCGTCTGGCCTCTAAAGGGTTAACATACAAGTCTTGTCGTGAGACGTTAAAAAAATAGTCGAATTAAGACTGAGTCACTTTCATCACTATTAGGATCTGCGTGAATGCTCGCGATAACATTTATCGACGGTCCAGAGCAGATAGTTTATGCCGCATCGATCACGTGATATATCTTGACTTGGAGATTGAATACGTAAAGCGAAATGCCACATTTAGAGAGTCCCTTCTTGAGAGATGCCATGTTTAGCAACGAATTTCAGTGGATGGATTATAATGATCCTATTTTCTAATCAAGCACATAGAAAACGTTTGCTCAATTTCACTTCGACAACCATTTTCATTTATGATATTTGTTAAAATAATATTAAACTTTTGACTGTATTCATTGGTAGGTTAACCCACTCATGTATGTTGAACACCGCCCAAATATTAATGTTCTATTTCCGGAATTTGATAGTTAACCGTATGTAGGAGACGAAGTTTGTGACTCTTTTGGTCACAAAGAGGAAGCCAAAAATATAGATAAAAATATTAGATCGGTTGAACCACGAGTACTTTCTACTCAAACACTACATTAGTAGTAGTGTATAGTGTTAGCAAAGTTGCCGTTAAATTGTATTGAAATAAGTTATATAAGGTTTGTTTTTTTTTTTGTTTTTTCCAATCCCTGAAAGTTTATGATGTAGCTAGATTTTTCCTTCTTTCTCTCAAAGATTATGGATAACATAATAATTATTATTTTCAACAGATTGGAGTAGTGAACGCGATGAACGTGAAGTAAACAGGGCGCGCAATGAACTTGAAGTAAGCAATGAGGGTGATGAACAAAGTGTGGTGCGTGGGGAATTGAAAGTAACCAGTGAGGGCGATGAATTTGAAGTAAGCAGGGAACGCAATGAACTTGAAGTAAGCAGGGAGCTCGATGACCTTGAAATTTACAAGAAGCGCAATGAACTTGAAGTAAGCAGTGAGCACGATGAACCTGAAGTAAGCAGTGAAGGCGATAAACATGAAGTACCCAAGTATTAGACTTTTTTCATACGTTACAGATGCCATTGTGAACCTAAGTGCAAGCAGCACAATTCTGACAAACATAAATTTGTAAAATGTATTAAATTAAATAAAGAAAAAAGCACCGAAATTCCCCTCGACCTTCCCTCTTGGCAGGGAAATTTCTAGTAGGTAGGACGTTATTAGATTAGTTGTTGAATATGAAAAACGAACAGCCATTCCTGCGCTAATTCTTTCCAGAAAGATAGATAACCTAACCTCCGGTTAAAAACACCGGCCTCAAAAGTCTTTCATCCCCTGGCATACTGCCACCCTTAGAGGTGGAATATTTTCTTGAAATTTAAATGGGACCACATCTGAGGTACGTTCTTTTCAACAAAAAAAGAATCATGAAAATTGGTTCACAAATGGCGGAGTTATCGCGTGACATACATACAAAAAAAACATACAGACGAAGTGAGGACCTCCTCCTTTTTTTGAAGTCGGTTAAAAACAGGAGAATTTCGCTTACCTACTTAAATAGGTACATTCAAGTACAAATGTGATAGTATTGAAAACATTAAACATTTTGAAAATTTTATAACCATAACGTGGCGAAATTATACTTTTTGAGTTTGTGTTGATAAACATAATGCACGGGAATGTACCTTATTACTTAAATATTGTATTCTTTGTCGTGTCAATCAAACATGTATAATCACATGAATAAAAGATTGTGTACTTATACGACGTCAGTAGAGAATTTATTGGTCTTATATAAAAGAAAGATTTTAAGATTTTGAGCGTTGTTAACAAAGTTGTAGAGAATATCGAGTCGTACAAAATAAAATAATCGATATCTACTTCTGTACATTTAGCCGAACAAAAAATAACGTTTAACGATCACGTATATACATATGATCAAATGAAATTTTGTTAAAAAAATCTTTTTGTACTAAAGTTTACGAAATTTACAAAGATGCAAAATCAACTACAATAAAAAAACATTGCTGTTATAGAAATCTGAATAATTTGTACAGATTTCTGTATTATGTTGATTGCAATATTATTTTGAGTGTTTTATTAATGTTTCGCTAAATGTGCCATGTGTGTAAAAAACTGGAACAACGATCCCCGTGGGGTTTCGTTCTTAGCGATTTTTCCGACTTCTATTAAACTTTTAAGTGCTCGGAGTCGTTAAAAAAATAAAAGAAAGTTTAAAAGTAAATAAAAACTTTTTAATAATTCGTTTAATGTAAAAAAACACAAGGATAATATGGTGGCCATATTTTCAGTCCATATCGGTTTAGCGTTTGGCAAAATTGCCATTTGCTTTTGACGTACTGACGTACAACGGGATTTGGCTATATTTGCTGTCTGGCCATAATCGACCTTTTACTGAGTTTCTTGCAGTTTGCAGATTGCGACTATGGAAGGAAAATAGTTGTTATCGCACTAACTATGAGAACCGGATACGTTCCATTAAACAGTTTTGCTTTCTTTATGAAGAGAAAAAACAATTCTCCTTATTGTGAGTCATATAGAGTAATAGAAGATGCATATCACTTGTTACTGGAATGTGTCCGGTACGAGCAACAGAGGGCGGCGTTGATGAGAGACCTGCAGATCAACCGAACATCCGTAGGTGCTATAAATTCTATACTAGGTAATGCCCACACAAATCGGGCAAAAAGACTTTTGCTATTTGTTGAATCGGCTCTTTATGGTACTTTAGGTTTCGATGGAATTGTGACATTCATTTAAACAGTTGATAAATAAATAAAGATTTAAAAAAGTTATAAACGTGTTTGCCGTGAAACTACTGTTACAAATTTTGTGTATTAAAGTTATTTCTATTACTTACATCTATTCCATTATATCAACACGTATTGTACAGATACGCACTAACTTACTTTGTATATTTACCTCCATTTACCTCTAATATTTTTGACGGTAGGGTTAATTAACAGTTTGCACAAGACTCGCCTGGGTAACAGACCTATCCATTTCTACTGCAAAGCGGCACTGCTGTGGTTCTGATTGAAGGAGAGAAAGCAGGCGTACCTAATCACAGACACAGAAGACTGGGCCGGCTAAGTCTTCTACAGCCGACAATAGATTTGCAATGTATGGCAACTACCTTATAAGTTTCCATCGGTAAAATTACTGCCTATATTTAGTAACTCTATGAAATATTTTTCGTAATAATAATCGGCTTCAAATTAGAGGCTTGTTAGGAGGTCCTGCAGTGGCGCGACGCGACTGTGGTGCGACAGCCGCGCGTGTAGCGCGTCATTGATCTTTGAGCCTATGCACACGACGTAATTTATACGCCTCTATAAGCGTCTAATTTGAAGGCGCCCTTACGATGCACTGGAGAGACCTGTCTTTTTTTGTGACAATTTAACTTAACATATAATACAGTTTTGTACTCTTAATAGAGATTTGTACTGCGCAACTTTCTCAAATATTAATTTCACACTTTGAAATGGATCGTTACACATCCTTATACACTTTATCTCTGCTATAATTCATTTTACAAAGAATTTGTATCTGATCCGACTAAGACCTTTGAGGCCATATTCAGCACGTGAAATTTAACCTTTATTAGCATCTACTACGGAGCAGTTCTTATTAAAACTAGAATTGCTTGATTCCATGTAATGAACATAACCCTAAGGGCGCGTGTACACGTTAAGAAATTCGACGTGTCTGCTACAGAAAAGATGAGAATGGTCTTGTACACGACAAGAACTTAGTTGGATCTAGCCACGAAAACATGTGTCTGTTGCAGACGAGAAAATGATGAGTATGTACACGATACGAATGCTTTCGGACAGACGTGTGTAGGATAAAATGTGTCAGTGCATTACGAGTCTTCCAGGTAGCTGTCGTTTTACTACCCACTGTGGGAAGAAATATGTTATATTGTTGGTATATTATGTTGTATATCTTGTACCACGCGCATAAACTTCGTTTACTGACAGTAAACCTCACCCCGCCCCGTACAAATAGCAGCAGAGCGAGTCATGTCATGGGGCAGGCAAGTTTTTTTTTATAGTTCGTGTGTAGACACGACACGAATTCTTGCATAGACCCGGCGACTTTTTTTAGCGCGGTCAAGCGCCCTTAAGGAATGTTACCATACAAAGTAGTATATATTATTTGTTTCTGCTAATCATATGATTTAAATATAGAATGATTAAAACACTATCACAGAACAGTTCGAATTAGCAAAGTATTTCTTCCTTGGCTTAAAACCACCTGGCACTTCAAAAACATATTTGTTTATTGCAAGAATGCACTATGGCTAAAACATGGAGTATTTTTTTGTAAATTTTGATACAGTACTAACGTTTTGAGATTTATATTTGAGCATGAGACTGTAATTAAAAATCTTTAAACAAAGCCGTATGTGATTTCAAGGGTAGGTACTTATAATTATTAACTTATTACTTAATGTATTTCCCTGTGGTCTTTTCCAGCACCACAGTAGCAACCTTTTTCGGTGGTTAAAAATAATAAATCGCCAGAAAAAAAAAATGATTATGATGATCTTTCTTTTTTCCTGGTATTCAATGTTTATAACTTTGAAGAATCTGCCTCAAATGCGGGATTGTCAGCCCCTTTTAATACTTCCATTCTTGATGTTTCCTTGGATGATTTATTCTGAAAGATAATTTGAACGTTTAACTCATACAAAATTTACATATAGTCCATTTGTTTTGGTACTTAACTAAATGTAAACAATCTTAAGATGTCTTTTTAATGAAATATACATTTATAAAATAATTTTTACTTACCTTCAAATACAAAATACAAAAACTTAGCTTAATATGAAATTACATAACTATTTTTATATCTATTGATTTGTAACGTATATGTTTGAATAAAAAAATGTATAAAGATTGTATACATTTAGTTAAGTACCTAAACAAATGGACTATAAATACACAATGAGATGTTGTTGCCTTACTTAATTATATCATAACTTTTGCATAACAAAGCCGTATATGAGACAAAAGAACTTTTACACGAAAAGGTATATGTGAAAAACTTTCCTATTTAAGCACATATCGATAATTTTATTCTTTATAATCTTTAGGCTGGTTTCATAACTGTGCGCACGGCCCTTACAGACTGTCCGTTTGCGAGTCATCCGCATCCGCAGTGCTCTGAATCGAGTATTTAATTTAGTGCGGATATTCATGTCTACACTGAACGCACGGGTGGCTTGCGCAGAGTTCACGCGGAGTAAAGATGGGTGATAAAAAACGTCACGATGAAAAAATCGCAGTGATCAACCGTTAGATAGTAATCACCGTGACTTTTTACGAAGGAACGTCATTCCAAAATCACATAGGTTGTTCCTCCGTTCCACAAACTGTCACTGTCACTCACGTCACGAGATAAGGCGTATTTTACAAACAAAAGAAGAAAGAAATAATTAGATCAGTGTAAATACCGTGTACATATTGTAAATTTAAATAAGATAATTGTACAAAATTGATCTAAATTAATAAATACGCCGAATGGTCTTATTAACAAATAACGCGACAAGCCTGTAAAACTGAAGGTTACATCAAAGTGATTATTAATGATCGAACGATGTTCTAACGCCACACGTGTCATATACGACGGTCCGCAGATAAATCCGCACTGCTCTGAAACCAGTCATGAACCTCTCTCCGGAAAACATGTTATTTTCAGATGTGGCCACACCAATGGTGCATATAATAACAGATGAAGTGATAGCAAAGTGCCATGTATTTCAATGTAACTGTAATGTAAATTAATATAAGTTTTGAACGAAAATAATAATTGAAATTAATTTTCAGGGCTTGTAAAATAGGTAGCGAAATGTTATTATTTTTATAACTGGATGCTAATAAGCAATAAGGTGTCAACTAACATGATCATAGTTTTGTGAAAATGGCACGTAATGATGTTTTTATGTTTTTGATAGTTTGTCCTAAAATTTAACAAAATTTTAACGCAAAATAAAAACTTTTGTTGTCGTTCTTGTTCTTATTGGAAAAACATAGTAATAAATCATAACAATCACAACAAATCATCATTCTTGAGGTGACACGAGCAAAAGTTTTCTTTTTAACCGTCTTTAAAAAAGAGGAGGTTCTCAATGCGACTGCATTTTTTTGGGTGTTTGATACGAGATTCGCGAACTGATTTTGATGATTCTTTTTTGTTGGAAAGACAGTACTTCAGCATTCCCATCCCATTTAAATTTGAAGAAAATATTCTACCGTTAAGGGTGGCAAACTAGGGGATGAATCCAGTTTCGGGCACTTTCCGTTAACCGATTGCAATAAACTTGGCAAATATATGTAATACCACGAACTTTTGACTTTTGACTTTTTATAAAAATGTTATAATTTTCAATTTAATTTTAGTACAAACTATCAAAAACAACGAAAAACATCTTTATGTGTCATTCCCGCAAAACTAAGATCACGCAATGCTTAACAGCATCCAACTTACAAGGCTTAATTTAAATTGCGGCGAAACGGAATGAAAGCGAATTTTTGTAACGATATTGTGCATAATGAATGCTCGAGAATTCTCGTGCATTCCGCGGAAGATTTTGGCTCGTATCTTGATTGTACGTTACTCAATTGACCATAAAGTTATATTATGCTATATACAATATCGTTACAAAAATTTGCTTCCATTCCGTTCCGCCGCAATATAAATTGAGCCTAAGTTTACATATTAATATATTTTTTATGTATTACACAGACCTTTGAACGGTAAACATCATTAGTCAATCGTCTTATTCCCGCAAAGTGGTTTTCGATGTCGTTCAATTTTTTGCCTTCAGTTTCTGGTAAAATATAGAAGAAAACTATTGAACCTGACAGACTGAAAAAGAAAAAAACAAATAAACATACGAAAATAACTATTGGTTTTTTTTTATTTAATGGAGATATTTAGTAAACATTTGTAAAATACTAACAACCTCCCAGGACTATATTACTAACATCACACTTACCTCACAGCTTTTGTTCAGTGACTTTTTACAAAACAAGAAATTTACCAACAATAAACTTCTAAGTTTTTCTTGTAGTATCTGACAGTTTTTAGGTCTTTATTTAGTAGTAAGTTAGGAAGTTCGATAGTGCTGCAACATTCTTTTCGACGACGATCCATCTCCGCTCCTTTTTACATGTTTTTACCATACTGCACAGAGTTTTTACCGTTTAGAGCATAGGTTTCCAAACTTTTGGGCACACATCACAAAAAAAAAATTATAGAAGTGTAGTAATGCAGGTTCTTTTTCAAATGCGGTGGCACCCACTGGACAGCATTAACTCAACAAAGGACTCTTCAGCGCCCACTGGGGTAAGGATCACTTTGAGAAACTATGGTTTAGAGCGATCTATTTGAACATTTTTGTATGAAAGTACTGTTAAAAGTTGTTATTTATGATGTTAATAATAATCTTCCTTGAGGTTGTTAGTATTTCCCTGTACCTATAGTTGGAAGTTTTATAAATAATTTTTATTAATTTATGTTACCAGACGATTCCGTAGAAGCCGTAAGTTCCATATATGGAAATAGTTTCCACCATATTTATATACATTTTATTGGTAAGAAAACCTAAAATGTATCCCATTGCACCAGCGAGTCCGGCTCCTGCTGATCGCGTTTTGGCACTAAATACCTGTCAAATAAATTATCGGATAAACTCTAATAAAAGAAAAGTATTAAATCTTAAAATTGTAAGCATATAAAATAATATAAAAATTTTGCCTGTTATGTAAGTATATTTCTCATATATTTATACTAATTGTTTATTTATATCCTCGCCTGATCTCTTTTTTCTCTCTTTCTCCACCTTTCTAATCCTGGTTCCAAATTTCATTTTTATGTCATATGTTTCCCCGTTTTAAGGATAAGTTAAAAACCTTATAAGTAGCTGAATAGCTAACCGCGAGAAGAAAAGAAAAAAGAAAAACAATGATCAATTAATTGTAAAAAAATTACGATATTCTTTAGTTTACCAAAATATTATAATTCCAGTTTTTACACGAATCCATTTTTAGAATAAGTATCAACGATATCTATAAGTATATTGCCTAATTGAGTTTAGTTGTTATCTTTTTAAGTAGACAGTTCTATAGCCATTGCTCAATAAAAAATAAGCGTTACCAAATTCCATCCTCTGAGCCAAATGGTCACTGTAAAGGCATAAACGATTTCCCGCGAAAAATTCAACTATTGAAGAAAAATGATAAGTTCCGGCAATACGGCCAATCAGACACGATCAATTTTATTACTAAAGTTTATTAAAGCTTATTTTTTATAGCTTACTTCTACTTCCTGTGAAGACAAATAGACTTTTCAGTAAGTTACCTCTCCAATCAGAATCCAAGGTAGTAATCGTATTCCAGTATGTGATATGAGTGCTAAGAGCATCAGTAACGTGGTCGGTATCCAAGAATATGAGTTTGTCTGTAAAAACAAACCCAATCTAATTCTTGTCAAATACACATATGCTGGGTGTAATCTTTAAATTGTATCGCACAACAAGGGTGTTACTTTGAATAACTGGTTTGAATGCAAAATTTTATACTTACTTAAATAAACATCACTATGTTTTTTTTTCAATTAAAATATAGTTTTACTACTTCATGCCATTTAAATATATTAAAATAGGGAAACTAGTCTCTACGAATGTTGTAATAAAAGTATGTGTATCCGTTTCAAAGTTTTTGATCTTATCTCTTAAATTTACGGAATAATTGCCTGGGTACACTTAACGATAACACCTCGTAGATGTTGTATATATATGTATGCATGTTAATAAATATGAACTACTTAATAAAAACAATACGGTACTCAATTGCATTACCACAACCAAATCAGTCATAGTGAAGTTAGTATTTGTACTATTGTTATTTAATAATGTTGTTGGTGTGGCGGCCGCGCCAACGGGGTTCACACCATTTTGCTGAAAAAAAAAAAGGTTTTGAGTTACACAAGTACACATATTTGATTCTAAAACGTTTTTTGTGTTTGAAATAGAGTTGATTAAATAATATGGTGACTATAGTATCATTATAAGATTAAATAATATGGTGACTATAGTATCATTATAAGATTAAATAATATGGTGACTATAGTATCATTATAAGACTAATAATAATAATACTTACTGTAATATACACGTCATACGTGGCTACCAAAAGGCAGCATACGGCTGTCCCCGCGGTTGAAAATATTGTGAGAGGCCTCTTGCCAGTATAGTGCACAAGCGTTACGCAAACCGCTGAACCCAACATTTGCAGAAGACCCAGGATCAACGTCGCGTAGTATTTATCTATTGGGGCTTCAAGCATCTGAAATATGGACACTGCGTATGTCTACGCATTGTACCAACGGTGATTTGGTAAATTATTTTATCGTGCTAAGAGCTGCACAAACAGGAGACATGTCTCAACTATATATAACCAGAAATAGAGACGAAATGTCATTTAATTTGTTTGAAAACTATTCTGCCATATCATTACTGGACAACTGCGCTCCGATTGGCTAGCCCGAGTTCGAAACTATTGACGGGTGTTGTCAACTGTTTCACTTCAAATCGACCAGTTAACTTGAGCTTTGCTATAATGGCGAAAATTGCAAAATTACATATTTAATATTTAATTACCGATGAAATATGATTCCGTTTGTTTTATAATTAGATGTTTTGCAGTTTTTCCCACACCACCGAATAGAACAGCACGGCATTGTTAGAGATATTATCTTTATTACAATTAATACAGAATATTTTTTGGAATATACGTAGACGTACACACAGGTCAGTAGTTGGCCTGTCTATATTTCAGTGCAAACGAGAGTTGATATTTATAAGAGCTGTATCGCTAATGTGTTACCAGGAATTTATGGCCCTTATTTCGTCTCTATTTCTGGTTATATACTCGATGACATGTCTAAACAACTTTATTTCCCTGCAAAAATTAAAGGCTTATGGGACTTGTCACCTTATGTCCGAGGGTGACGGGCACAGTGGCAGTGCCTCTCAGATTTTAGCGATTTAAAGCTCTGAGTGGCACTGCAGCTATCATAGATAGGTTTCAATGGTAGCTGCACGTTTACAACCAGGCCCACGAGTCATGTTGAGTCACTTAGAGTCTGTCTTTTCTGAAGACGGAGTAAAATGACATTTGTAGGATTGCCAGTTTCCATAAAATTTTACATATTTATGTAGTTGTTGTCGATAGTTTCATCGATAGCTTATGAAAGACGTTTAAACTTTAAGCCAAAAATGACTAAATTGTGAAAGTTACGATGTTCCAATGATTACTAATTGTGTTATTGCCTTCTTTATTCTTATTTTGACAGTCGGCCTAATACATTTTAACCGGATTTGATTATCTAAATTGAATTAAAATTAAAAACTTTAAGATATTTCTCCTCTCTGTTTCTTTCATAAAAATAGTTTTAAATACAATGTATGTATGAACTTACAAAAATTGATAATTCAAATGAATTTATGCTCAGTAATTGGATGAATAATGGGTCGAGAATGATTCAAATGAAACAAGTTCGGTCTATTTATTCCATAACCTTGACCAATATTCAGTCGATAATCGATAGAATATTTATTGACTGCAATCACTAACTGGCATTTTACTCCGTCTTCAAAAAAGACAGACTATAGTATCATCAAGATAACTTTGCTTTTGTGGTCTGGACTCGGGACAACGAACGACAAAATTTCGGAGAATTATGGCCTGTATTTGCTGCTGAAGGTGGCATTGTTGTAGAGTATTAGTATGTAAAGTATTTTCGCGAGATTAGATAAGATCATGATCTTATTCGTAGGATATTAGAGGAATTGTTATATACCTAATGTAGATGTTTGCGGTTGATCATTCTTAACTCATGACTGATTAATAACACTTGTCTGAAGTTGTTTTGTTTGGATAGTATCACATTAAGACATGAGTATATATGACATCTCGTTCACAGGTCACTAACACGTCATTTGTGACGCGACATTTGCATATAGATGAAATTCATTTATACATGTCAACCGTGACCATGGGACCTGTAAAGGGCCCGAAACCTCGGTTTGTTTGAAAAAACAAATATACGCGATTTAAATTCGGAAAAATAGTTTCATTTCCTATGTGTAACAATCGCGAAAACTACGAACTCGATATCATTTATACATATTAATTAATTTCTCAATTTTTATTAATACACTAAACAAAGAGTAAACGTTTCTCATCAAACAGCTGTCATTTAAAGTTAAAACAGAATTCGTCTATCGTCAGCCTATTTCCACCAAAAATTGCCATTAACAGCTTTGACAAGCTCGCGATTCATATTAATAGTCATCGCGAGCTCTCGCGAGTTCGTGCGGGATCGCGCTGTGGTTATGGATAATGAACATCCAGTACTGTTCAGACGCGACTGAAGTAACATGTCCCGTAAATTATTATTATTAAATTATGTTAACGGAAGAAGAATCAGAAGAAGTCATATTTTTTTAAATATCAAATCGTACATAACACACGTCCTGCGTGTAAGAAATTGTGTTTCCGTTGCTGAGTTAATAAATACTCTGGGCAGCAATACGGTTCAGTATTACATCCACGAATATTTCAATTCTCGCCTCGCAGAACCTCGTCGACCCAAACCATTTCCACCGAAGATGCGCTAGGAGAGATTTAACATTTTGCCATACAAATTTCAATACTCGTCACGACCCGTCTAGTCTCGTTTGGCCAGTGGAAAAGCACCTTAAGTGGAATATTTTTATGGAAATTCATAAATCCTTGTGTATGACTATAATTTACTGATGGCATTGTTCAATAGGTGGGCATGCCATAACGCTGGCAGTACTTGGGCTTTTTATTTGTTGGCGCTTTCCAAAATCGAATCTGATGTTTTCAATCTCGGGAATATAGAGACTTTTGAAGCTTAAGTCAAAAAATATACTAATTAGTTTATTTCGGCCACACGGTCAAGTCAACACTATACTACAGTAGTGGGGCTTAGTATAATCTATGGAGATTGAAAAACGATAGTAGTAAAATCTGGCTCTTTTGCTTTATAATTTAAGTTAATAAAGAACTGGATTAAAATACCATGTTTTGTCTGCTTAAAAGCGGTTACACACGGTGACTTTTAGCAGCGATGCAAACGCGCGACTGCATCGATACAAACGCGCTTGCATCGCTACATTTGTGATTTATAAGCGTTTGTATCGATGCAATCGCGCTTTTGGATCGATCCAGGCGCGCGTTTGTTTTGATGCAATCACCAATAAATCGCAAATGTAGCGATGCAATCGCGCGTTAACGCGCGCTTGCGTAACCACTCTTAAATATTGAGTCTATAATGAGGTGCACGAAAGGAGCCTCTGTGCACGACGCACCATTTAATTTTCTTTTATGTACGTCAGGCGCGCCCTGGTCAACAATAGGCAAGTACCTTACGCCGATTGGGAAATGGCAAGCATTACAGTGTATGCCATCGATACGATAAGAAAAAATCTATAAGTATGGAAGCCTAATCTTGAAATTCCTTGAAAGTCTCGTTTTTCCCACGATTTTTGAGACCGCACCGAGTCTTGTTTTTCCCAGGATGCGGAAATGTAACGAGACTATTCCGGACCACAGAACAATAAATACAATAGAAGTGCTCAGTCCGCTATTTTCGCTTTGTACTTTATGGTCGTGTCAATGAGATATCATGCAAAACCTCTTCTAAATAAAAAAAATATAATTTATATTTAATTTAAAATTAAATATAATAAGACTTAACGGGATATGACACCACCATGGGTAATATTAATTAGTTATAAAAAATAAATTAAATAAGCCTTCAACTGCAACTTTTGTATCTATGGCTCTGTCGTTTTGCGCGACGATTTCGTCAAACTAAGCCTTTTAACGATGATAATAATTTTTCCATTTACTGTACGTAATAGATTTTTTGTTATGAGAAACGAAAGTAAACCTTATACCGCTGCAATATGGTCGACTTTTTTGAAGAACGTTTATAAGCGATGATCTTTTTGTAATCTTTCAGCTGTTGACACTAGATGGTAGCACATTGAACGAAATTTCAATATTAAATTAAACGTAGTAACTTGCAATAATATGATGAAAATAGGTATTGAATTTTAGTTAAAGTTAAAATTATGGTAATTGTTCAGAATTTGTTACATCTTTTTAAATTAAAAAATACGACCAATAATTAAGAAGTAGTTAAAGTGTTTAAGATATGATAGCGTGAGTTTTGTCGACAGCGGTTCTGATAGTAATCGAGGCTAAAGGCCCTTCCATTGATTTTAGTTTCCGTGGTTCCGGACTGAAGTGTAGGGATGGTAGCGCGAACAATTACAATTCCCACGTCTACTAACTTAGCTGCGGTATTAAAGGTATTTTGCTAATACCGCAAATATGTATAGTTGGGAGGCGAAAACCACTTTTTAATGGTGGTACTTACTGCCTGACATAGCGCTCTGATTTGTATTCTGTAGTAAAAGATTTATAACCTAGTACTAACGCATAGATTTTTACCGCATAATCTTCTAATATTATCTCATATCCTGTAAAATCCGAAAGAAGATTTCTAGATAGATATTATTATCTGCCACGGCCACGGTTACCATGCCGGACTGCCACGCAGAGGTCCCAGGTTCGATTCCCAGCCCGGGAGAAATATTTGTATGGCCTACATTTCTTTCTCTCGTGGGTTTGGGTGTAATTTGTGATTGTGTATGGTGTGTCCATGGCACCTGCGACACAGGATCTCCCTAGTGCAGGGGGCTATATTGAGTGTGTGTGTTATTATTATTATTATACACCTTTGCCCAGCAGTGGGACATAATGGGTTAATTAATAATAAGAATTATTATTATTATTTTGTTTTCACAACATGTTTACCTGGAGTGTAGTCATTCCACTGAAATGTCCCACGAAAAAACAGTAGCAGATAAGAAGAAAAGGTATAACAAAACTTTTTTCTAAAAAGACAGCGGCTTTGTTAGATATTGACTCGTACATTTTTTCTCTTGTGTCGACTGAAAAGAAAATGTAAAATAGGTAAGTAGGTACTGTAACTTCTGTGTAAGCATTTATCATTTCCACATTTCATAATAGTTAGGTAGGTACACCACTAAAAAAATGTTATCGACTACGATCGCAAGCAGAAACTTTTAACAACACTTAGAGATTCTATGAAATAAAAAATGAAAAAAATATCTGTAGGTAAGGTTAATATTGCATGGTAGATAAGGTAGTGTAAGCATTTATCATTAACACATGGCACAATAGGTAGGTACACCACTAAAAAAATGTTATCGAGTAACGATCACAAGCAGAAACTTTTAACAACACTTAGAGATGCTATGAAATATTAAAACATCTGTAGGTAACGTTAATATTGCATGGTAGGTAAGGTAGTGTAAGCATTTATCATTTACACATGG